TTTATTAATTTATTTAGAAAACAATCCCCTTGAAACAACCTGGTCTTGGTCATTGTACATCAGGATTGTGTTAAGACCCAAGCTTCTTGAGACTGCAGCAGAGCTTTACCATCATGCTCATATTGAGATTATTGTAATCTAAAGGGCTCATTGATTTTTCAATGTTAGGTCTACCGATAAATAGCGCAAATAGATTAATGGTAGCCAAATGACAATGTAACTTAGTTATTATTGTGTTGTATTTTTTTCTTTTGATCAATTACCCAAAATGAGTAACAACCATTCATACTCAAGTGAGAAGTACACAATGCTTCAAACTTAACAGTTAGACAATAAAATTAAAGCATAACAAATTTTCAAATAGTTTGATCGCTAGAGTTAGCACAAATATAATAGTATACGTAACCATTATTATAATGATTTTTCTTATTATTATTCATATTAATAGTAGCAGTAATGTTAATATATTCATCATAATGCATTTTGTTTTAATTATATAATGATTACTTTTATTGTGTCAAAATGCAGAAATAATAACAACAACTTATTATATTAATAATAATTATATTAATAATGACACTTTTATTTAATTACTATTAATAATAATGATATAATTTTTTTTATCATCACCCATTTTATTGACTTTATTATCATTTATATTGTACTAATGAATTTACATTTAGTAATTTAATTATTATGAATAATAACACGTATAATATTATTGTCATTATTATTAATTGTAATAAAATGCATTATTATCATTTTAATTAATATCAACAACAGTTATTATTATTATGATAAATTATTATTATTATATATCATTACTATTATGTAGCATATATATACAGTGAGTATAGAAAAGAATTCTGGTTCTTTCTGGGTTTTTTAATATTTTTTTCTGACATGTTGGTGTTATATCTTTCACTTGGACATTTTAAGTTGCACTAAGTAAATACAGCTGGATAAAACAAAAACTGTGTCCATCTGCATTTCAGGCTGCAAAGCAACAAAATGTGATTATTTTAAAGCGGGGAGATTTCTTTTCTATACCAACTGTGTGTGTGTGTATAGTGAATTATATTAAATGTAATTATTAGTAATAGTAGTATTAAATATATGTTCTAAGTAGTGCTACACAAGTTACACAAGTACATGCTAATATTTTTGAATATTTAGTAAACACTTAATTCTCTGACAAAACGTCAGGCCCTTAATAATTCCACAGCTCTGTAAGGTCTCTTAAGAATTAAATAGAGAATAAAAAGCTAATAAACTCAATAACACCTTGCATCCCCGGGGTCCTCTTATCCAAGAATTTAGCACATCTAAATATTGTAATCACATGACTCAATTATTGGATGATATCAGATCTATCAGTAGTCATCAGTAATTTTTCAAGCACAACAAATCGGCATGTTTTTAATAGTTGAAATTAGCAGCCTTATCTCATTACACTTCTATCATGAAGCCCATACGCTTTGCCCAGAGCAAGTTGATCCACGCACATCTGATTTATTAGAGACACATTAGCATACACGCATGACTTTGACAGCACAGGCCAGCAGCGCTGCCAGTTCACTCTCTCTTCTCCACAAGACATCATCATCATGTCTTTGAAATTCCAGCCAAAACTAAAGAGTCAGGCTTGCCAGACCTCCCTCACAAAAAAGTCCACAAATATGGCCCCTGTCCGAAGCCTTAACTCAAGATGATTACTTCTGTTCTCAATCAAACCGCAGCGTGTCCTCAGAACACCTCTGAAGAGACCTTAGTCAGGGCAGACTGCATAAAAAAGGACAGACGGACACTCCATTCAATAGGGTTTCCAGATTTCTGTCCTTAGGATTTGTTTTAATGCAAAGACGTATTTTAAATGCTGCGTCATTTGACCAATCGAAACCCAGATACACAATGGCACCACCCATCAAACACTCAATTGTGGAAAATATTCAGGGCAAAAGATCTGTTTTATGAAGCATAGCTAGAACGTTTTCCTTAACATGCGATGCCTTAGGTTGTGTAGTAAACTCATGTACATTATGATCTCATATTATGTTTAAAAACTCCAATGAGCGTCTCAGACAACGCACTCTCGTGGCAATTCGTAACTAATAGTGGTGAATTCGTACATTTTCATACAATCTGCTCACGCCCCACTGTGGACCTTTATGCTTAGTTTTTTTCATCACACAAATTCATACAAATTGCCAAAACATAAATTAGTTGCATTTTCTCATGAGACTGGGTTGGCTTGAACAGGACATATTTCACAAGGCAACATGTTGGAATAATTAAAAAAAGATTTTTTGCACATAGTCTGATGAAAATAAATAAATTTTATGTCATAAGTTCTAGTACATCTTTGTTGGAACATCTTGGCATTTAAACTGAGAATGACACTAAATGCTAATGAATTAATAGCCCTTTCGTTAGTTTAAAATATTATAAAAATGAAAAATGACCCCAGGGACTTGTTCTCCACATCACACTTTTCCAAAAAAATAAAAAACATCCTTTCCAAAGGCAATATTTTCATCCATAGTAGTTAAATAACTTAATAAACATTAAAAGAGAATATATTCAAACATAAAACCAAAAAATTAACTTTAGTCAAAGTGCTAAAGTCTGTGCTCCAACTTGTGGAGCTACTGGGTCATTAACCCAAGTCATTCACTGCATCTCTGAAAGCCTATTACACAAATGTTATTCACCATAACATATCACTGCCTCCGTCTCAATGATAAGCTATGTGCAGTCATATCAACCCATAAGCGCCACTGTATCCTGTCCCTGGACTTTGGATGACCACAGTCAATGTGTTTACTTTCAAACAAAACCTATTTATTGAAGGATTGTTTGACTAGACCGAAGCGAAATGTTCTGTGTGCTCAAAGGTGAATAATCTTGACACAGGCCCAATGATTTTCCAATAATGGCCTGACACAGACATCTACAGTTTCATTCTGATTGATGAAAGCCCTTTGTAAATGTATTCATATTACAACTCTCATTTTACATTTGCCACAATTACTTATAAATCAATCAATATTAATTTGTGTATTCATAAATGTAATTGTTTTAAATATTATAAAATAATAAACAAATAAATAAATAAATAAATATACAGATTAATTTATATAATATCAATAATGAAGTATTAGTTTTAAAATGAAACTTATTAATTTTACTATTTACTAATTATTTGTTCATTTTTATAAATTATTCATTTACAACAAAATAAAGTGAAAATAACGCTAATTGACAATCCATTTTTCTACCATCAGAGTAAGTCAAAAAGTATCACCTAAATGCAAAGCACATTTTTGCTGTAGTAAGTACATCTGACAAAGCAGCCAAAGACATCCATCTGATGTACAGTATATTTACATAAGCAAAACTAAATGCATAAACCACCTAGTACAGTTGCCTCATTTCACCTTGGATAGACTGTATGGCTGCACAATTAGTGGTTCAACGGATCACAAATCTCACGGTTCGGACCACATTACGGTTTTTGACCCACGGATCGGATCATTTTTCGGATCAGCAAGAAAATAAAAATATTTCAATTTAACTTGCTTTCCATTTATTACTTAAAGCGAAGTACTTCTTTGATACCACAGCTACGTAAAGCGGAAGTACTTCTTTGATACCACAGCAAATACTACTAGATTAACTAAGAAAGTTTAAACATGATTAAAGAGACAAGAGAACAGCCAGTAAAAATAAGAACAAATACACAAATTACAAGCATAGATAAATACAACAGAATATGTTACAAATAAAATAAGGTTGGTAGTATTCAAATACAGAAATGTAATAATTAGGGAAAATAACACTGCATAGTGTTCACTGTATAAATTAAATATATATTTTTATCACAGCTGTTTTGTTGTTTGATGATCATTAATGACAGCAGCAGTATTTATAGGCTGCTGTCCCTTTAAGACCTGATGCACGGATCGGATATAATGATACACATCACATCCGATTTCTTTCTCAGCTGTTTTCATTCACTTGAGACATAACTGACTGCGTTTACCTGAATGATTGTCGAGATGGGTATGTTGTCATTATGTCATAATTTTGTGTATGTGTCTGTTCAGAGGATTCAGAAGAGGATTCAGTTTGAGTAACGAATCGAGTTCCCTTTCGCCTTTTCTCTCTGGAATTGTTTAAAATTCGCTTGCTTGTGTAAATATGGACAAATGATAAAACTTACCCGAACCGTGGGGCTTGGTCCGTACGGATCACGGATCAACTACGATCCGTTTAACCACTATGCACAATATATCGAAATAAAATCAATATCACAATATGGATTTGTGTGACTGTCAAATGGCCCAGGCAGCCATTTAATTAAATTAATTTATGCATTTTCCAGCACGGCACTACACACGTGTAGCTCATGATACAGTATTTCAGTGTCTGAGAATGGCTTGGTTCATTTACTGTCAGTCAAGCCATTCTGAGCCACTGACTGTATGAAAAACAAAAATTACAATTATTTTTTATTAATCTTTTTATTTTTCAGTATTATTACAATATATTTCTTATTATGTTTAATATCTTTATTTAATAATAATCACAACAATCTCAATTTTATAACCAATAACCACAATAAAATCATCACAATTACTATTTAACAGTGGGAATGTGGCCTATAAAAAGCTCAAATATATTTTTTAAACTCTGAAATGTTACTGAAAGAGATTTGAGATAGTGCTTGTAAAAAGTAAACCCAATTATGAATACACCATTTATTCAAATTTGTCCCAAAGCTTTGTGATTCGTTCTTTTCAAATACAGCTATTTAATCATCTGGTGAATATTCCTGTATTTATCCATATCAGAATATATTCCAGAAAAACAAAGTATTGCAATGTCAGTTTTTTTCCAGTATCGTGCAGCCCTAATAGATCGACCAACCTGATTGCAAATCGGACTGCTGTGGCAATGTAAAATAACAAATGTTTTTGACGTGGTTGCGAGTGCAGTACCTGCAGTGAACAGCTCGGATCCTCTTGCGGACACCAGTCCGTTTCCACACAGCAAGCCCAGGTAGAGCAGACTGAGCGAGAGAGAGTAAGCCATAGCTTCTGCTGGCTCCCTGAGTGCACGGGGGAAAAAGAAAAATCATTATCAGTGGTGCTCCCGGATGACACCCCTCTGACAAATACTGAGCTGAAACCTCCTGAGAGCCCCAGGGCCATTGCCATCTCCACAGCTTCTCCAATTAATTTCCTTACTCTTTCACGCCAAAGCGTGTTGGCTGTTACCACCATTAATTCTTAGCTGGTCTGTGTGAAACCCTATACGAGGACACCAGACAATTAACAACCAGACACTGCTTCTGCAACGCTCAGCACTTCCAGCCATATGTGTGTTTGCCATTACCTGTAGGTAACCGAGGGTCTTATGAGCATGCAGACAGTGCGGAGGATGCTTTCACAAGCTAATACTCCGCATTTACTGTGTTAAACTAGAGATTCCATTATAAAATTATGCTAGGCTGACAGAAAACCTTTCAAAGTATCAAACATTCATGCTATCTCAGTTAAAGGTCCTGGTCTACATAAAGTATACTTAAAAATATACTTGAACTTTACTTAAGTATACTTAATAAAATAAACTTGAAGTATACTACTTTTTGGTAAGGGTAAGCCTGTAGATTTATATAGACAGCCTGATAGAAAGGAGAAGAAGAAAAAAAACACTACTGATATGGTTTAAATGTGTGTCAAATATATGACATCAAATAAAATCTTAAGTGGACAATTAATAAATACAAGTAGCTAATAAACAATGTTTAGACTGAGCTTGCCCTGATGTGTTTCTGGATCTAGTTCGATTAATGAGGAGTTCTGGCCTAAAACTTGGCTTCAAAGCTATTTTTCTTCTGCACTTGGAAGTGGATTGTTGAAAACAGCACCAGGCTCTAATTTATAAATGTGGCAAAATACACAGTCAGCAAATAACTGGTTTTGTTGCATTTGACCTGTAGCTTCACCCCATCTCAACACCTAACAATGCTAGAATAACAACATGCAGGTTTCATAACCCTGTCTTTTTGCATTGTAAAATACTTTTGGTATTTTAAATTGACATTCACAAAACTTAAATAAAAGCTTATGATTTACTAAAGTCAAATATTTTCTAAAATTATACTGTAGAGATGTTCTTGCGCTCAAGTCTGGTACGAACAGAGTCAATAAATACACCTCAAACTCGCCTTGATCCTCCCTATTCTTCTCAAAGAGACGGCCCTTCTCAGTCAGGTAGTGGAGAGGCCCCAGTACTCACACGAATGCTGCTATCATACAGCAATAGAGTGTAAAATGCATTACACACACATACTGACAGTCCAGTGCTTATTAGGTCTATGAGACTGTATTGCATTTAGTAAAGTATAATTAAGTACTATTATTATTGATAGTATAATAGTAAATGAGTTTGGAAATGTTCTTAATCTTAAAACTATACAATTAAGGGAAAAGATGCACCATTAACACTCTCTAGATATCAGTGCAAGACACATAACTCAAACAAATACTCAAATACTCACCTCAAATAATGTAGTAAACAGTATATATAATATAATATAAGCAAAGTTCAGTGTCTGTCAAAATTTCAATTATTAGCTACAACCCTAATAAAAGAATCTGGTGCTGGGATGCATTTCTACTTAAATGGATGACCTTTTGTGCGGAAGAAAGGTCAGAAATCATCATTTTCACATCTTCACTTCATTTATTTCACATTTGCAAACACAAAACTTCTGAATGCTGACTGTTGTAGGCTTCACAAAATGAATTACTAATTTAACAGGTCTAGAGCTCCGGCTAACAAGCAAGAGAGTATCATTCCTGTCGGGTCAACATCCAAGACTAAATTAATAACATCCAAAATTAGCAGTGAGTAATGCAAGCTGAGTTTACCATTTCAAACCTGTTGATCTCTGCTATATAATAAACGTCCTGAGTCACTGAGTCGTACTTTGTTATGATGGTACACTCCAAACAGGAAGTAATACTAAATCTGTGTGTAGTGATGTGCTTGGTCGTAAATTGCTCTTAATGGCACCTATTTAGCAACTTTATATCAGAACTCAGAAAATCAAGCAGAGATGAAATCTGAATGACTGAAACTATGTGCACTAAGACTAAAACCACTGTACCTTTTTCCAGTTCTTCCTAGCACAATCCTGCTCTCAGCACATCTATGATGTAAAACAAACATGTAGGCATCACCTGAAACTACCGATGATAGCAGTATATTACCATGAATGTTGGGGTAACATGTTCCACAAATAAATGTATTTGTTCAAGTAACGTAACATGTTACTTATCAAATTTACACCATATTATGGGGGGGTGGTTCAGTTGAACAAAGAAAAAAATATTAAAACTTTTCTGTCAAGAAACTAACATTTGGATTGTGATATTGTGTCAAATAAATATAAATGTTTCATTGCAGCATGTTATTTGCTATTTTTAAATGAAATAGTGTAATATCATATATATTGCTTTAAATCAGCCATGTCATCAAGATATCCATCCAACGTGATCTCATGAGAATTTGCATGTATTTTACGTTGGCTAAAATGTGGTTCTACAAAAGTACATTTACTTACGTTTGCACAGACACTAAAACGTACAATTCTGACGTATTTACAGCATCTAAATCTACAAACCTTTTGTATCGATGACACCTAAAACGTAACTTTACAGACTTACAATGAATCTTTATGAATATTGCAATAGCGGCATCAGCATTTTATGTTGTATTGTATTCAGTTGTCATATCAATGGAATCGGACGCTGAGGTTGCTTTGTTTCTTCTTGATGGGTGAGTTACATTGATTTTGCTTTTTCATACAGCTATTCTGTGTTGACTTTTGCTTGAACATGCTGCGGCCGGCAGGCATAGCAGATTCCTCCATCGTCGCTGTCAGGGTTGTGTACATACGTGTGGGGCGGAGTTATCAAAATAGGGGCGAGGTCCTGTTGGGGTATGGGCGTGTTTGTTTTGATTCTTTCAAATATCAACATCGTTTGGCAAAAATCGCTTAGTGCATTTAGTCATTTAGTGATTTCAAACTATGCTGCGTGAAAAAATGAGTGTTTTAAACATTTAAAATATTATTTTATTTTATTTTACTTTATTTAAAAAAATATTATTCCCAAAGCACACAAACTTCTCAGATTACTGAGTGCCTTACTGGTTACAGTGTTAAATATTTCTTTAATAATGAAAAATACCGTAATAGGATTACAGAATCAAGAAGTTGTCATATATATGTATATATACATAGATAAATATCGGCCATCGGCCACCTTGCTGTCTAAGATATCGGCATCGTCTGTCAAAAAACCAATATCGGTCGACCACTACTCTGCACCTCACTCAAATCTACTGTATTCCACCAGAGAGGACTGTGGTTGCAACACATCGTCATTTGGATATCTTTTGGTACTGCTTTTGATATTTTTGCAATAAATAAATTATTGTGGTTTCACTTATCTGTCTGTCATGTTTCTCTTTATACGGTACATATTTTTAATAAATAGTTATGGTTAGGTTTAGAGGTAGGAGTGGGATTAGCGATAATAAAAAATATTTTTAATGCTATATTGTTACTAAAACAGTCATTTCCCTGCATATTTCAGTCTATTACATTTTATATCTTTTTATATTCACAAAAAAATGGGAAGGTCAAGGGGTCTAAATCTCTTATCGATAAAATTATAAAAATGCATTGATACAAATAGTTTAATGATATAATAGAATCGTAAATATTTTACGTTTATAAGCTGTAAATACGTAGCAATTTTACATTTTAAATGTTGAAATACATCCAAATTGTAAGTTTCAGCATCAATCAAAATGTACAAAAACACATGTTTTGTGCTTGTAAACGTGACGTACTTATACCTACCTATCAACAATGAGACCAGGCTGAGATATCAGCATCAGCCAACCCCTACTTGCAGTATGACACATTAAAAATTACTGTGGTTAACCCAATTTTTACAAGCAAAATGTGTTTGGAGGATAAAAACTTTTCAGATGTTACGTCCCTTTTGTTCTATTTCTGTGTTTTCTTTTGTTTTGGGAGGTGTTTGTGTGTCTCTGTCCAGGAAGAAGACCGATTGGTTCCTGCTGTCTAATTGTTGCCACGCCCTTCCCGGTCAGCTGACTCCTAGCTGCCTATAAAAGCCTCCTTCATCACTTACTGCATCAGCCTTGTGCTCACTTACTGTGTTTGCTCTGCTTGACCCTGCTAGTTAGTTACAGGTGTGTTAGTAAGACTGAGAGTATGTTTGTGTGTTCATTTGAGTGTTTGTCTGTGAGAGATTGAGTGTTGTTTGTTAGTTTGCTTAGCCCACTCTTTCGTTATACCGACCACCGCATGTTCTTTGACCTTGATTCTGGATTGCTCCTGTTTGGACCTGTTTGCTCACCTTTGTAAATAATTGTACATAACGTTCCGGGGAAGTATGGGAGACCGACGACATTTTTGTTGGAACCTTTTTTTGATTGTTTTTGGATAGGGAGGTGTAGGGAAGTAATTGTATTAACGAGGGTAGTTAGAGGTATAATAATTAGTTGGCTTTTGTTTGTTATTTTGGCCTTGTCGGCTCCCGAAGCTAAAATTCCCCCAGTTGTACTGTAAAACCACTGTGCTCATTAAAATACTGCTCCTTCTTTATTTATTTTTTTCCAAACACTCTTCCATGTCATACTCTTTTATGTTGCGCCTTTACCGTAGACAGGGCATAACACATAAAAGCAAAATAACACTTCTTACATATAAAAAAATGCCTAAGAATCTTTTCATTGAAGAAGAGAGTGTATTAGTCAGCAGATAATGTAACATTATGAATTACTTTCTATAAGTAATGTAATACTGCAATGCATTTCTTTTAAAAGTAACACTGTATCTCCTATTTTTAGGAAGCCCAATAAATTACACTAAATCATACACATCTAGTTCTATTGCTTTTTGAATCAACTGTGTCAATGGCTTGGCTGTTCACCCAAAAAAATAAAATTCTACTCACCCTCAATTGTATGAGTTTCTTTTGTCTGTTGAACATAAAAGCAGAT